TGATAACATTACTATCATGCTTGTCTATGTAGACGATATAATATTGACAGGAAATGACATCAATGACATTAATCACATTACCAACATGCTTAATAATCGTTTTAAAATTAAAAATCTTGGTAACTTGTCTTACTTTTTGGGTTTTGAGGTGGCACGAAGCAATGAAGGTATCCATCTCTCTCAGCGCAAGTATGCTTTGGATCTTCTCAATGAAACAGGGATGCTTGATGCTGCTCCTGTTAGTACACCAATGAACTTCTCTACCAAAATTTCCTCTCAAGGTGATCCTGTTGATGATCCTGCTGCCTTCAGAAGATTAATTGGGAGACTTATCTACCTCACCAACACTCGTCCCGATATCACCTATGCGGTCCACCGCTTAAGTCAACATGTTGCTTCCCCAACTAAGCTTCATCACCAAGCTGCTTTCAGAATATTGCGCTACATCAAACAAACACCAGGTCAGGGTATTTTTTTAAAAGCTACTAATACTCTTACTTTGAAAGCTTATAGCGATTCAGATTGGGCTGGTTGTCCTGACTCCCGCAAATCCACCACGGGATACATCGTTTACTTGGGCAATTCCCCAATATCATGGAAATCCAAAAAGCAATCAACTGTCTCGCGTAGCTCTTCCGAGGCTGAATATCGTGCTCTTGCTCAAACTGCCTGTGAAATTTAATGGCTCACCAATCTTCTCACTGATCTTCGCGTTCCGTTCTATCAACCTGCTACCATCTTCTGTGACAACCACTCTGCAATCAAAATTGCTACTAACCAGGTCTTCCACGAAAGAACCAAACATATCGAGATAGATTGTCACCTCATTCGCGAAAAAGTCCAGCAAGGCACTATCAAGCTTCTTCCCATCCATACCACTTTACAGCTCGCTGATATCTTAACGAAGGCCCTTCCTCCTTCCACCTTCCATACCATCAATTCCAAGCTTGGCACTCTGAATATCTATGCCAAACTTGAGGGGGGCTGTCAGAACACTATTAAAAGCACCGTTACTGCCTCTCATTAATGACTCCACGTGCACCGCTCCACCGTTTCTTTTTCTGTTTTCTTTTCCCTTTCTGTTTCTCTTTCTGTTTCTTCCCTCTCCCTTATATAATCTTTCTCTGTGCTGTACAAGACAGAATTATTCAAATAATACGAAAGTACGTTTTACAGTTTTCTTTCTCTGGGTTTATTCTCTTCCCTTCCACAATGCATTCACTCATACACATATGTGATTTCATGAACTTCTACAAATGCCCAGAAGCCTCTGCTGCAGTTCTTCTATGAATTTATGTTTGAGCAACATAAATCACAAGTGGAGGCATATTTCATCATTGCTACTATAGAAAAGCATCGGTGCCAACACACTAGATTTGGGGCTTTCTACATTCTCCTTGACAGCAAGGAAGAACAATTTTCTAATAGCAACTATGAGACTCTTCTCCCAAAAGGTCACGGTCCAGGCCAACACCTATAACAATTACAATCAAACAAAACCTGCACCAGCCGCTCAAACACACTAAAATGATAGCAACAAACAACACCAGCCACATCAGTCCAAGCTAGCTATGTGACTAGATAACCAATATAACCCTTCATAGAGTCCTTGCCCAGATGTGGCACAGGTTGGTTGGTCTGATTAAACCAAAGGTCTGATTAACCGCCATTTCAGAAAAGAGCTCAAAAACCCAAACTTGAGCCAACCCCATTTCAAGAAATAGAAAAGAGCTCAAAACCCCAAAATTGAACCAAAGTCTACATTTTTCTTGACTGTGCCATCAAGAGGAGAGGGGTCAGGGAGCGGAAGATGCAGCTGCGATGTGTGTGGTGGTGGACAAGGAGGAGAGGTGTGCGGCTGCACGTCGGGGTTTGACGAGCAAGAAGAGTGGAAGACGGAGGGAGAGAAGCTGGGCGTGAAGATGCAGGTAAGGAGAGAGAGGCAGAAAAGCTGTAAAGATTGATTCAGTGTAAAAGTAAAAGACGTGGCACAACATCGTTAAGTCAGCTCAGTTTAATTTTAATGTCTGCATAATGAAAAATTATAATTTCTTTAATAAGAAGGGTTAAAGTGTACCAAAGTTTGAAAAAGGGACAAAAAATAAAATTGCGTTGAGGGACTAAAATCATATTTAACCCAATTAAATATAAATTATTTTTTTTTATTTTATACTCAACAAACCATGCTCATAACATAAATAATAAATGAAAAGAAAAAACTCATAAATCTTGTGGAGGCTGCAGTTGTATTCGTCCATAGAATTTAATCTTGTAGTACTATCACTCAAAATGTTTACATTTTAAATGTCATAAACATAAATATGCATTTATGTTATGTGTTATAATTAAAAATTAAAAATAAATTATTTAATGTGTTAGTTAAAGAATTGAAACACGGTAACATTTGTCATTCTTTAGTACTTTTTGGTCTATTTAAACTTTTCATTTTTTTTATAATTTTTTAAGAAATTAATAACATATCTTTATGTGATTTTGAGAAAAGTTTATCAAAAGAGAAAAAAAAAACGTAAGTTTAATTTACACATAAAATATTAATACTAGTTATGATCCAAAAATTTTAGATAATAAATTTTTGAATTAATTTTAATTTTAAATAGTTAAAAACAGATTGAGTGATATTTTAAAAGTCGAAGAAACAAATCAGTGATTCTTTTTAAGAACTGTAAAAGCAAATATTAAATCAATTTAATATGTTATTGTCTCTTTTTGGGGTTATTTTGATAATACTAAATATATATAATTTTTTTAATAATTGGTGTTTGCAATATAAGACATAATTATATTAAAATTGACAATAAAATAAAATCATTTTTATAATATTTTAGTAAAATAAATTTGTAATACTATTTAGTTGTATAAAATTAAGTGTGTGGTTTGTAATTGTTTTTAATTATTTAAAAAAGTGATTATTTAGAATATTAAATATTCTATTAAATTATAATTAATTAGTTTTATTTAATAATTTGAAATAAAAAAATCAATTACATGATTATAAAATTTAGTACTTTTAATAGTTACTATGAAAATGTTGAAATTTAGTTTCCAAAAATTTTTAGTGGGGCTAAACCCACCTTAACTCTGACCCTAACCCCCTTGAGGGGGGCCTTTGGGGATTGGGATTTTTTTTTTGCCCCATTTGAAGGACTTCTTAAGAGGAGGCTTTTTTAAGAATGGGTTAGGGCTAGCTCCGGAGTTATGGGTCAAATTGACAATTCTAATGTTTATAAATAGGTAAATTACGTGTGACTTATTATGTAGAGTATTTATATTTCACAAATATCAACTATATGTTTGTAAATTTTATCTAAATATTCACGAGCACATGTATTTTGTCAGTGAATAACATACGTCTTCAGTAGTGCCCTAGTTTGTGACAATTGAAGTAATGCATAATAGATTTGTCGAAGTTTGCCCTTCCTGTCCGCGATTAGAAGAACTTCAAGGCTTGTTCCTTGTTTGAGATATTCATCTTTTGTTCATGCACTAGCAAACGACTTTGTAATTTATCTATAGATAGAATACTAATGTCTTCTCAATTGAATAGACCACATAGTTGAATTGTTAAATTATAGAGCGTAATATCTTTTTCACCACTTTTGAGTCACTTTTATTTTTCACCATTAGCCTTCATCTTGTTCGCAATTGTAAGTGTGTGAATGAAATAATCATTCACAATCTCTCCAATCCTCATGTGGAGTGTTTCAAATTCCTTCCTCAATGCATGTAATTGAATGCACTTGACACGCGTGAAACCTTTCTGCTTCATAGAGTTCCATATGTCCTTAACAATGTCCTTCTTAAGAATCGTCTCGAGAATGAAACAAACAATCCTGAAAAAGATAATGCATCAAAACAGTACATTACAAAATCTGTGAGAGATGAAAAGTTGGGATGGCTTGTTTGGGATCCAACTTGGTCTACGCAACAGCATACACATATCTCTAACGCAACAATATACACATATCTCTAACTTAGGAGGTGGGCAAGAGTACTCCAAATTCATTTGATAAACATGTCTGTCAAGCTACATAGTCGCGCACTCATTTATGGTCATCAACTTGCCAATCTTCTAAGGAAGGAGATGGAAAATGGAAAGAGAGCAAAGATAGTGGCCAAATTGGTCAAACTTAAGAGGCAGGTAGCACGTTTTGCAGCCGAGAAGAGACAAAGGAGATGAAAGCCAAGAAAGCTTTGGAGGAACTTACCTTGACCTATACTGAGAAGGAAAAACACTCTCGAATGGATGATTGAGGAGTTGCTAAAACTTTAAAAGTATGTTATATCTGAGCATGAAGAAGGCTTTAAGAAAGTTCCCCAGACTATTGTTTATGAGTGTTTCAACATAAACAAGAACATTCATCAAAAGACATTAGTCCCTATTGACAAGATCACCAAGCTTGATGTCGTTGATGTAATGACAATGTTGTTGATGCTAGTGAATCCTACAAGGATGTAGGCGAGAAGTCGTCTTCTTTTAGTCCAAAGCCTTCTCCTCAGCCCGTGGATGTTACAGGAAAAGCCCATGTATCTTAGAGTTGTTAGGAACTATACATTAATTAGGTACTTTATTACCTGTGTCTTTTGGACTTTGTTGAACTAATGTTTAATGATTTTGATATATGTATTGTCATTTTCTTGTCAGCTTTGAATAAAATCTACTTCGTTTATATTACTACCAATGACTTGTAATTTTGCCTTCTTGTGAGGTATTTTATCCTTGATCAAGATAGATCTCGGTAGGAATTACCAAGCGAAGCTTCCTTGACTAACCATTATCACGTTTCACTCTGCGAGAGTAGCGTAGCTTGACGTGGGTCTACCTTAGTCGAGATGAATCTCAGTAAAGACCGTTCGAATAGTCTTCCAAAGATCAGCATGTTCTTATTAAGGTTCAACTTTGACCGAGATGGATTTCAACATGGACCAAAGATTAGACACAGGATACAACTTGCTCAAGATAGAAGTGAAAGTAGATATTCATTCACATTTTTCTCTAGTAACGGAGCAAGACAGAGACACCAAATGAAAATTTATAGAAATATTAATCAACATTAGAAGGGAATAATCAAAAGCTTCGATTAAAGATCTGAAACATCGATAGAGCTCTCTATAATGTCAATGCAGGTTCCAACAGATTTTCCCATTGACAAAGCCTCAGCAACCTTAGCTCGAGCTGCTTCATGCCTCCTCAAGAGCAAGACCGTGTTTAGCAAAGACCATCTAACTTGAGAATCTGCCTTCTTCTGTGTGAAGCCTAATCCCTTGAGCAGTAAATCCAACTATTTACATTTAACAAAATTATAATTAGTAATGGCAATGCTATGTGTAAGCTTTCTAATTGTCATGACTAAGAAAGTAACCAAAAAATTGCATAAACCTTTCTTATGTCATCCAGACCTCCTTCAGAAAATCCATATATAAGATACTCCGTAGACACCCCAGCCAATGCTATACATGAAAATCTGTTCAATGTCTAAAACCAAGGCTGTGTCACATTACTAAAATTTTGTAACGTGCAGAATATCTATTTAAGCAAGCTTGTAAGCACTGAGAATTAGAAGTCAGTGAGATAGCAACATACTGTAGCTGATACTTTTCCTGTATTAACCTGTATGAAGTGAAAAGCGCCACCAATCAATAAATATAGTTGTCAACTAAATACAAATGTGATTCTCTGGATAATCAAGCAGTTTGATGAGTAGAAAATGCAACTGAAACGGTCACTTAAAGACAGACTTACAGGTAAATTGTGACAGTTCAAAGTCAAATTACTACGACATAGTCATGCAACGCCACATTCTCAGTTGTTACTCTTGCTATAAATCTTTGTTATATGATTTAGTTTTTAGAAGGAATTAGAATGGGAACAAAATTCTCTCGTTAAACTTTTTATTGGACGGGAGGGAAAGGAATATAAAACATTTCAAGTGTATTGACTATAATGATAAACATCTTTATTTACACGTTACGAAATCCAAAATCATAAGGATATAAAAGCACATTAATCTTCCCTTCCTCTTAACTAAACAAAATGTCTAATCAAAATTTCTTCCCTCCCGTTCTTTGAGCCAAAGAATTCCTCAAAAGCAATTGGACTGCGTTAAAATATAAGGGGGAAAAAAGCAGCCTACTTCTTCTTGAAATTCAAAATCCACAAAGGCTGTGCCTGCTTGAATATTCAGAGATCCCTCCTTCTGCAGAGCATCCAAACTAGAAATAGAATATCCCTTAGGAAGTATTCCTATCAGATAAGCAATTAAAAAGTGGCCAGCTTCATGCTGCACAGTTAAATTTCGACATGGTTACTTAATGGTCACTAAGATTATGTAAGTTAATTGAAATAAAATTACTTGTAAGTGTGCGATAATAGAATGGCATGAATCTGACTTGAATAACCCTATTGTGGTATTTCTGACTGAAAGTGTGACCAATTGTATCAACAACCAAGCTACCAATACCTCCACCAAAAGAGACCTACAGAAGAAATTGGTTGGATGAGCATGCGATGCAATTCAATTAGCATGTCAATGAAAAAACACAAATATAATGAAGATTGATAGACAAACTTGGTCCAGAATTCAACAATGCAATTCCTTGATACTTACAGAAAATAGTAATAAAAGGTCTGCTATTGGCAATATATGACAATTAGGTTAACGGAAATAACACTTTTTATTCATATGCGTATTGGAAACAAATCGAAACATGGACACAGCATATCTAAGAAGGTTAAACAACAAAGCATGAGAAAAGAGAATAAGCTCCCCAAACAGGAAAATGCAAGAGTAAGCAATTGGTTGGACCAGCAGAAGATACAAACAAGCATAGAACAAATCACTCTTCTAGAAAAACTTCACTTCATAAATCTGGTGAAATGAAATGATCTCTAGGTTAGAGTAAGTACCGCGTCTAGTGTCCATAGAAATAGCAACCCCAGTGATATATAGAAGATTTGTTGTGGGGAAATTCCAAAGGCATTCCATGCAGCAAGACCTCCTAGAATAGTAGCAATCTGAAGATTTCTTTCTATTGAACCAAGAGTCGTGTCCACAGGCGACAGAAGAGACAAAGTTTCAATTCCATTTAGCTTCAATTCATCCAAGGTGTAAAGCCTTTGAGGCACCTACAGAATAAGCATAGAGAAAGATTATCCAAAAAGCATAGAAAATTGAGAAGACGCGCAAGAGGACACAAGGCTAACCTGTCTGGCTGCACCGAAGCATCTAAGCCCACCAGGCTTACCCTGCAAATCCTTCACAAGTGCCAGCGCTGCTCTGTCATCTCCCTTTGCTAGCTCCTCGTCCACTTTCTCCAGCACTTTCTTCCTAGACACATAAATGTTGGAGGAACATCGGATTCTTACCCTAAACTCACAAGTTCTCGGTTTGAGTTGTCCATGGCACGGTGTCAGGACCACACCCACACGCTGCATCAAACCAAAACCTACCATTTCATCGAAATTATTAGGATGGGTGAAATGAAATTACCTCTATCTGCGTGTTTGATTGTTTTCGACGGACTCAACTTTGAGGGTCAGTGTTCCAATTTTTCATTGCATGCCCTCTTCACCACATAAATACTAGATAACCAATTTTAAAATCAAGAAACAATTTTCCATCATGTAACCAAGGGTTACTGTTTATTATACAATTGGGATAAATTGCAAGATTTTCTTAAACATCAATGCAAACGAAAACCAGATAGAAGCAAATTAATGACTAAAATATTCAAGAAAAAATGTCTTCGTTTTGTAAATCTGACATGACGACGCCGTTTCCAACAGAATGACGTTGACGCCTTTTAACAAAGATCGATTTAGACCCTCTTGCCTTTTGGTTGCGAAATACACTTCAAATTTCATTAATTTGATACTATTGTTCAATAATCAATTTTATATTTCATTCCCCGTCCATTGAGTATCAATTGAAAGACCGCCAAAATACGCCTAAAATACTTCCAAAATCAAGCAAAAACCTTTTCATCGTGTCTAAGAAAATGGAAATATGCAACGAAATTTCCCTAAGCACTTTCCCCACTAGTATTCATACATAACCTCCGTTGTTGCACCTACCAGAAGAATCTAAAGTCTAGCTGAAACTGAGTGTTGCAACTCGCTGACACAAATAGTCCTTAATATGATGAAATCATTGGGCAATATGACGTAAGCTTATTTTCAAAAGACAACAGTAAATGCTGAAAGTATTACTCTGCGACAATTAACAAAAGGATACTAAAAAACATGAAAACCAGTAAAACCAAATGTCAGCCCTACCATCGAATGCCACGGATGAATACAACGTTTCACCAAGGACATTCAGGCATGAACACTTCCCACAAAGCATAAGGAAGGGAGGATCAATTAAAAGATGACAATATAAACCCTTACTGAAAAAATAAAAGAACCACAAAATCGAAAGAGTTAAAAAGGCTCGCTCTACTTAAGAATCAAAGCAACCCAGTTATTTTGGCGAGACCCCGCAATCATCGTTCCACATTCCCTAATTCAAAAACAATACGGGAATCTATTGCGTGATGCCATTACGTTTAAAACAGATGGATTCATAAGGCGATATTATAAGTATCAACAATAACTCATTAAAACGATCAAAAACACCAATTTTCATTTCTCATATACATCCAAAAAGACATACATCATTTAGTTCATCGGACTGAGAAACACTTAACCTCTCGGGAAATATATAGAGATAAACGAAACCAAGTATATTACAACCAAAACGAAATTAACCTATTTTTCTAAAAAGAGTCATTAAAACCCTAAAACTCTTGAGAGGCAGACCCAATTTCGCCTTTCCCCTTGCCAACCTTCTTGGGAAGAAGAGTTTGATGAATATTGGGCAACACACCTCCATTGTCAATGGTGACAGACCCCAAAAGCTTACTCAGTTCCTCATCATTCCTCACCGCAAGCTGAATATGCCTAGGAACAATACGATTCTTCTTGTTGTCTCTGGCAGCATTACCGGCCAGTTCCAAAACCTAAATAAATAAACAAATAACCGATTGTCAACAAACAAATTACAGAGAAATTCAAGATTTTAGGTCAATCAGAACCCTAACAAACAAATCAATAAGAAAAACAACAACCGATTAAAAATTAAACCTAATCAAGAAACGAAACCAACCTCGGCTGCCAGATATTCAAGCACTGCAGAGAGGTAGACTGGAGCACCGGCACCAACACGCTCAGCATATTTGCTAGCTTTGAGAAATCGAGCAATTCTTCCAACAGGAAATTGAAGGCCAGCTTTCTGTGATCTAGAAACGGATTTGGAAGCCTTGGGCTTGCCCCTCCCACCCTTGGTTGAACCAGTAGAACTCATTTTCTAATATGCTTAGAAATGAAAACCCTAACCCTAGAATTTGCGATTAGGAGAGTGAGTTAGAAGTGAGGCAAAAGGTGTAGATGAGAGGAGATGTGAGTAGAATGTCATTATATAGGGCCCGATAATCCACCCTGACTGGTTGAAACTGTGCGACACGGATTGCCAAGGTGGCATCCCCACTGAGATTCGCGGGAAACTGCTTTTTCCATTTCAAGAATTTTTTCTACCAGGCGCGTCACCAAAATGTTCAAGTGTTTCTTGTTGCATGTATTTTAACACAAATAATTAATTAGTATAAGTATATGTTTTTTAATTCAATGGAGTATTATTGTTTTAATTTTGGTTGAAAATGTTATAATAAAGTTTAATAAAAAAATATTGAGAAGAAAATAGATTACGCAATTAGTATAAATTTTCACTGATATCTAATAGCAAGCAACAAAACAAAGGTATATAATAAGGTAATTGCTTATTTTATTAATGGTATGTACAAATTTTATATCATACAAAATAGTGTAAACCCATAAATGTATTAATTATCTATGTTAAAAAAGTAAATATACAAAAATTTCTCTTAATTCTTTTATAAGAGTAGTTGTATTTTCAGAAAGTTCACTTACTAAAAAAAACACAGAATTTAAATTAATAATCATGATTTTCAAGTTATATAAGGTTGTTATGAATGATTTGTAAATTTATAAACATTATTATTAAAATAATTTGTAATATTATTTTGGAAAATAAGTTTCAACTTAACTGAATGTCACATAAATCCAAGTTTTTAAAAGTGAGATTTACAATATAAATATGCATATATATATATATATATATATATATATATATATATATATATATATATATATATATATATATATATATATATATGTATATATATGTATATATATATGTATATATATATATATATATATGTATATATATATATATATATATATATATATATATATATATGTATATATATATATATATATATATATATATATATATATATGTATATATATATATATATATATGTATATATATATATATATATATACCCAATTTTATCTTAATTTTTTTCCTTTGTTTTGATCAGGTTTAACTTTTTTACATTTGTCGTTTAACTTTTTTATAATTGTAAAAGTTAAAATTAATGATAATAAATAAAAATCAAAATAAAGTTTTTTTTAATTGTTTCAAGATTAAAAAATGATTGATTTTTAACAAAATTTAAAAATAAAAAACAACATTAAGAAGAGGAGGAAAGTTTTACACCTAAAATGTTATGCTTGCATACTTTTATTTTCAAATATATATTATAATTTGTGAGATATTTTTGTGCACAAGTTTATAAAGAAAGTCCCAGAACATATTAGCATGAGAGAGTCTTAAAGTTAATACAGTTGATCATCAAAATAAAAGTAAAAATTATATACAACCAATTTGTCTAAAATGTCACTTCAACATACATTAAAATGCTGTTAATCAAAATTATTAAATTTTAAAAATACTACCATGAAATATACAATAAATTTTGTGCCAAATTGAAATATTGTCTTTAAAGAGGCTTATCTAGTAGTGTTTCAAGTTCCAACTTATATGATGGAATTATTATGAAGTCATTTTTCTTCTGAATTTTTTATTTAAATTTTTATATAAATAATAGCGTTTTTTTTATGATAAATTGATCAAGTGTAAAAAAGGAAATTATTAACATATACTCCATTTTTAAATAACATATATATATTTCATAACGTGATTAAAAAATATAAAAAGGAAGAAAATCATATATAAGTGAAATGGAAAAAATGAGAATAATACTACTGACTCATTTAAAAATAATTTTATCTTTCTATTTAATTAATAATTTATATATTTAATCCAAGGTTATTAAAATAGGTTAAATAAAAGAATTGTCTTATCAGCACTGTATGATTAGATGGAACAACTAACTCTAATTTACCTTTGATAAAATTTAAACTTTATTTATTTTTATTGATTTACCTGAAACAAAATTAAATTTAATAAGATACATTAATATTTATATAAAGAAAAAATACTACCAAAATAGAAACAAATAACAAGCACTTAGAAAAAAAAAACACTACACCAATTTACAAAATATAAAGTTTATACATATTTAAACAAATGACAATCAGAATATGAAATATCTCAAAAAATAAAAAAGAAATAATTAGTAATTCGGTCTCCTGGATTTATGATTTGTTTGGTTTTTTTTACCTTAAGTTCTGATTTTTATAAAAAAAATCTTAATTTAGTTTCTATTTTTATAAATAAAAAAACTTAATTTTGTTTCTATACATTGTTTAATGCAGCCTCCTAACAATTACTACACAATTCTCACTAGATAACACTTCAACCATATGATTTTAATAATATTAATCATATATATTGTAAGAAAGAATTTTATCAATTCGTATTCATTGTACCATTTTTCCTTGCAAAATATGAATATTTTTATAAATTAGATTAACCTTTATTAATAAAATAGTTTATAAATGACTACTTCAATTATAGACATTTTAAATTAAAGAAAAGAGGGTAGGAATAATCTATTTCTGGTTATTGTGTAAATTAAGAACTCACACTTCAACTATACTAGAGAAAGCATAGGACATGTATGATAACTAAGTGTAAAAGAAGTCAATCCATCTTAGAACAATGATATGATAATATACATAAAATTTAAATAATCATAAAAAAATTAATTTTTTATATCTTAAGAAAAAATAATAATATTATATTATAAAAAATTTATGTGTGTCAAAATATATATTTTTATTATAGTTTAACTTTCCTTTAATTAACTAAAATTTAGATATGCTTTTTGTTAGATGTTGTATTTTACTTAAAATAAGTTTCATACAAATTTTGGATGCCCACAAAGAGTGAGTTAAGCAATGCAACATGAAACAGACTCTGTGTCTTCTTACTTTGCAGATAAAGAAAGGGTAATATAATATTACAGATACTGGAGACAGTGAAAAAGAAAGAGAAAATTACAACAGAATGTTGATGAAAAATGCTACTTTTATGGTTATTGCAAATTGAATGAAACTTCCTTGTCCCTTATCAATCACCATCTATTAACTAAGTCTCCTGCAGGAAAAAACCTGCTGCTCCATCTACAATCACATAAGTAAAAATATAACAACTTTAGTCGAGACATGAACAGTTTTTTTTTTTTTTTTCTTTTTACATCTTTTATTAGGGTTTAATTGTTATATTCAGTTGGTGTAAAAGCACTTATATAAATATGTCACAATGCAAAAGTACTACATTCCTCCATTCCCTTACCTTAAACAGAGTTTCAAACTTGCTTTTTACCAAGGAACACTCCTGTTTTATTTCCTGTAAGATTTTGAGACACCTGAAAACCAACATGTATTTTCTATTTAGCATGTCCAAAGTTTAGTGAATAAATTTACAATGATATTTCTAGAGATTTGGTAAGACAAATAGAACTCTTTTATTTCAAGAAAGAATACTCTAAATATTAAAACAGAGAAAACTCTATCATCTGCTAAACTTCAAGTGCATCAGTTAATCTACTCCGAATAAATCATATTGTCAAATCTTACAGAACTTACCCTTCAACATTTTGTTCCTCACAGTAGTTTCTGAAGGCAATGCAGACTTTCTGAACTCTCTGTGCACCAATGCTGTGTTTCCCAACATTCCAATAACTTTATCAAAACACTCATTTTGTGTGTGCAACTTTTGTGTCTAATCCTCAGGAGAGTATGTTTTATGATAACACAAGGATGAAAAGTAAGCAAAACTTTGGTATATACTATATCAAACATTTGACACTCAGTCATATATGATTCAATCATTTGACATTCAAAATCATGGAAGCTGTAGAATGAAGATGACGAAAATGCTTTTTTTTTTAAGAATTTATTGTGTAATTGAGAACTATCTTTGTGTATTTCTAGGTTAATTCATTGCACATATTTGGTTATTTGTATGTGGAGATCATATACTCCGGGTAACAAAAACTACTCAATAATTTGTCTGTTAACATTAATGAATGATCCTCATCGTACGATATATTCAATTAATAACAAATTTTGTTAAGATAAATTTAAAAATTTTAGTATCTTTTTAATAAATATATTTTAAATTTAATTCAATCTTACAAAATCAACATGTAATATAAAGTTTGTCTCACTTGAACACAGTATATTTACTTTATCTTTATCTTTTAGTCTGTAAGATCTACAACAAATACATATTACAAAGGTTTGTATTATAAATTAGGAAAGTGAAATTTCAATTATGAGAGAAGAGTAATGCCAAAAGTACCAAGAGCATAAAATTTGTGACTTTTTTACTGCTGAGTTTTAAGAAATGGAGAAAGTAGTGGTAAAGAAGTATTATCACCTGGAGCTGCTACCTTTCAATTGGTGAACATGAGCATCCACCCTTTTGAAATCGATGTCATCCTGTGCTCTGTTTGGGGAAGAAATCAGCATTCATTCAGAAAGAGATTCCCTAAGGCACTTTTTACAATGATCTGAATAACAAGGAAGAAACTGATGTGCCCTTACAGTGTCTTTGCAAGTTCATTGAGAAGCCTCTCTGCATCCTCAAAGAAAAGATTCACCACTTCAACCACAAACTCTGGGTTGCTTTCATCTTGAAGTTGCTTAAGCTGGTTAAACTGATCATCTAAGAAACCCTTTTCAAGGAAACAAATAGAGAAAAACCATAAAATAGATGCAGCAGTAACACAACATAGCTTATGAGATGTAATTGCTAATTGAATGACATACTTACCTCATCAAACAGGGAAGAAGTGAATTCAGCCAATTGTCTCTCAAGCTGAGACAAATCATACATTGTTGTTCTTGTTCTTTCAAACTTTGAACTTACAAGATCTTAAGCAATTATGTTGTCTTCCTTCTACTACCTAGTTTATATAATTTAGTAATTTTTGTTTTGCCAATAAACTTGTGTGTACAAGGTGTGGAATATAATATTCCATTATCATGGTAATTAATTTGAGTTTTATTAATAAAATATTTTTCTCTTTATCGTATACTTATTTTGTTTAACATAGAATGTGTTGCTGAGATTG